CCAAGAGGGCAACCAAAAATTCAAAAATCTAGTTTTCCGCCCCCACGAGCCCCAGGGGGCCCCAAGAGTGCCCCAAGAGGCCGCCAGAGGCCCCCAAGAGGCCGCCAAGACGCCCCAAGGAGCCCCCAAGAGGCCCCCAGGAGGCCTCCAAAAGACCCCCAGACGCTTCCGCATTGCGCGCCGCCAAGCCAACTGCAATGCACTCCGCGCATGCAGCCTTACTCTTCCTCGCGACGTGCACAATCTTGCTCGGCGCTAAAGTGCTGCTGCCACGCGAACTGTTTCGTGCGCGCTGCGAACGTCAACAGCCTCTTCACCCGTTTCGACTCATCTGCCACATCTTTCGCGGTGATGCTTCGCTGATCACAATTTCCGCACGCTACTCTTGCTCCTTTCGTCTTCCGGTGGTCCTCCACTTGGTTGCGGGTCGAAAGGCCGACCTCCCAGAAGGACACCCCGCACCCGGGCGCACAGCACGCAAGGCGCTCGCAAAACACGCCCCAGACCACCGGCATCACGCAAACATTTGGACCCCCTACGTATCTGCCACCACCCGCGCGCGACACCGCACCCTCACACAAGACGCCGCTGGAAAGAAACTCCTGGCCTCGCAACAGTCGCAGAAGGGGTCGGCGGATGTGGCGTAAGCCTGTAGAATTCATGCAAGGAAGAGGAAGAGGAAGAGGAGGAGGGAGGACAGAGCCGCCGCGGACCAAAAGGCCAATAGGGGAAGGAGGAGGAGAAGGAAGAGGAAGGCGAAAGCGCCTGTCGTGAAGAAACTGCAGAGCCAGGATCTCCGGGCCTGACCCACACGAGCACGCCACCGACAGACACGCCACACCGCCAAAGGCCCCCACGTCGCCTGCGCCAGCACCCGAAGTATACCCGCGGCCAGGTCCTCCCCCTCACCCCAAGAGCGACGGCGTCGGAGATCTGGGCCTTTTACCTCCTCGCTCCCCCCCCCCACCTCCCCCTCGTCCCCCCCCCTCGCTCTCCCCCTCCCCCGTCGCTCTACAGCTACACGAAACGAACACTACTCTCCTCTCTCCCCTGGTGGCGTCCAGTGAATGTCCGGCCCCCCATCCAGGTGGCGGTTCTTTACACACACGATTCCCGGGAAACGGGTTTTCGCTTGGGATTTGTTTCCAAGTGCTGCTCTCGCTGAAGCGCTGGCCTCATTTTCAGGCTACCGCTTGTTCCGAATCGTGCTCTCGCTGCAGCGCTGCCTCATTTCCGCGCTTCCGCCCGTTCCGGATCGCGCTCCCGCTGCAGCGCTGGCGTCATTATTTCCAGCGCCATGCAACGGCATGGTCTTCGGCCCTTCCAACGAGGCACCAAATAAACGCCTCCTTCTGCCCCGCCCCGCCGCTCCTGCTCTGGGGCGCCCCGCCTCGCCAGCACTGTGGCGAGACGGTCTGGCCGCGCCGAGCTGTGGTTGCGTGTTCCACCTGGGTTCGCCACTCCCCTCCATACCACGCCCGCCTCGCCGGGGCTCCGCCCGACTCGCGGCACCGCGCCGCGGGCTGGCGGCGTCCTGCGCTGCAGCCATGGTTCCCCGCAGCCTTGCTGGCCGCCTCCTTGGCGCCTCCGCCTCACGCGCGGCCCCAGCCGCCGCCCCCGCAGGCACAGCCGCCCTGGCCCCCAGCAGCCCCGCCAGATGCCGCAGTGACGCCGCCAGCTGCGGCGTCGTGCCGCGTCCTCCTCCTCCTCCTCCTCCTCCTCCTCCTCCTCCTCCTCCTCCTCCTCCTCCTCCGCGTCCCCGCTGGTGGCGTCGGTAGGTCAGCAGTCCCTGGCAGGCGGTGCTTCGCTGCCCCCAGCAACGCAGCCGCAGACCGCCAGCCCGGATCTCAGCAGCTCTGCAGGATTCCTGCAGCACCTTGTCGCCGCGTGTTGCCCGCGGCCCTGCCCCACTTCGGCCTGGGCCTTCCCGCATCCGCCGGCCCGCCCCTTTGCAGCAGAGCCCGCCGTCCCGGGCCTTCTGACGAACAGCTGGATGCCGCCCGCCTGTTTGGGCTTGCTCGCCGCTTTCCCTCAAGCACTGGTACGACTTGGTTTTCGCTTGCTGCGCCTGCTGCTTGCGACTCAGCCCCCGGGTGTTGCCGCGATGCCGCCCCGCGTCCACTGCCAGGCTGCTTCAGAACAGGCTGGCCGCCCTGGCCATTCCAATCGAACTTCTTCGCGCTGTGAAGGCTTCCCTCCTCTTCCCGCTCTCTGCCGCCGGACAATTAATACGTAACCGAGCCCAGCTCACTGGCGCGCGCGTGCGGATCGCCTCCGTCACGCTGCGATGAAAAAGGTGGGGCAGCACGCGAGACAGGCGTCACTCCTCTGGGGGCGCGTCGATCACAGCTCCACTCGAAGGCATAAAAGAAGTAGAGGGGGCACTTGTTTGTGGCCCAGGCCAGCTTCGTAAGCCTCCCTCGTCACAGGACAAGCCAACCAACAGACTGGGGCGTCTGCATGGAACCCTTATCATTCGCGATAGCGCCTGTGACTGGCCCTGACACCCCCCCGTTCACGTCACGATTCGCGACGGCGCCGTCTAGGAATGAACCATCCGTAGGCCCTAAGCATTCCCAGACGGCGCCAGCGCGAATCGAAACGTGATGGTCCCCATCCCCCCCCCACGGTCACGCCCAGCTCTCATGATCCGGTCTCTGTCCCTTCCTTGAACGGCCTCTGGCGGCCCTCTTTCCCTCTTTCAACGCCCAAAACTGTTGCGGAAAAAACGGATACGATACCCAATTATAACTGTTGTCCAAAAGCGACAGTGTGGCCGCTGTTTGGCAGTCGGCCTCCTGTCTAGAATCGACAACGTCCGCGGCGACACCGACAGCGAGTCCTGCTCAAGACTCAAGATAGACAGACCCTCACATCCGACATTTCAACAGAATATTGGAACACCGAGGGGGGAAAACAAAAAAAACGACGAAAACCCTAGACCCCATCAATCCCGGTCATGTTTCGAGCCGGATCGACCTGTGAGGGTCCCGGGGCCCGAAACTGGGCGAAAGCGCCCATTGTGCAAAAACTGCAACACCAGGATCTGAAGGCACCCATTCTTGTGAGGGTCCAGGGGCCCGAGATTGGGCGAATGCGCCCGTTGTGAAAAAGACTTCGGCGCCAGGATCTGAAGGTGCTCATTTTTTCCGTACCCATGTCGATCGTGCTGTTTGCACGGCCTTTGGCACTCTCCAACACTCCCTCTGGTGGCGCGCACGAGGATAGGTGGGGGGAGGGGGGGGCTTCTCAGAAGGAGCCTGCATCTGAAAGGCGCCGGCCTTACACCCACAGATGAGGCCCGCGCCTTCTAAGAGGCAAGGGTGATTCTAAGAGCCCTTCCCACCTCCCCCTACGCTAAGGGAATTGACTAAGGAACTAGTGGTTCAGGAACCCAGGGCCTGGAAGCCGGCGGACCACCCGTTGAGCCCCAGGCATGAAAATCGGCGCTGCCCTCATCAGATAAGGAATCATCCCAGCCCTGAGATTCGATGTATCGAAACATTGAAACGGCGTGAGAAGATCACGACCGGAGCCATAGGCCCCATCCCTCTGCGCCATGTCTCGAGCCAGATCGATCTGTAAGGGCTCGACCACCGCGGGGTGCTCTACTCGGCGGCGACGATAGGGGCGAATGGCCCCGGGGCCCCGTGACCCGAGACCAAACAAAAAACACGCCCGGCTCTGGAAAAAATGGCTCGCCGGGCGGGCTCTCGGGGGGGAGGAGGAGGAGGAGGAGGAGGAGGAGGAGGAGGAGGAGGAGGAGGAGGAGGAGGAGGAGGAGGAGGAGGAGGAGGAGGAGGAGGAGGAGGAAGGAGGGAGGAGGGGGAGGAGGAGGAGGGGAGGCAGGAGGAGGAGGAGGAGGAGAGGAGGAGGAGGAGGAGGAGGAGGAGGGGGAGCCTCCGGAGCACGTTCCTTATAACGAACGCCCCCGGCGTGCCCCCCTCTGCGCGCGGCCAGCCCTCCCTCCTCGCGGGGCGCGAATTACTTGGAGGGCGACAGATGGGGGCGGGAAGATTAAGGTGGCCTTCTGAGGCCCAAAATCCCCCCTTCTGGGGCCCTTAAAAGCGAGCCCTCTGGGGTCCATGTTCTGCGGCCCTCGCTGCCCCCCATGTATCGCCCTTCCCCATTACGCTCGGCGGCGAGCGAGGGGGAGAAGTGAGAGGAGGCGGGCCTTCTTAGAAAGCTCGGAAGTCCCCCAGTCTGCTGAGAAGATTACCCAGCTTTCCCCCAAGACTGTTCCGTCGGCGGCGAGGCAGAGTTGGCTGCACCAGCCGCAGGGCTAAACGGGGGCATCGAGAAGCGAAGAGGCCAGCGCGCACGAGCGGGGAAAGGACGGACAGGGCGGCCGCGCCGCGAGGCGAGGGGGAGAGGAGGCCGCTCAGGGGCGGACGGGTCAACACCTGAGCTGCTGGCGCGGCCAGCCCCGCCGGCGGGGACCATGGCAGCTGCCGGGCCGCAGCGCCGGGGCACCCATGAGAGCAGGGGGGGCCCAGGGCCCGGCGCATGGCCCCCCGAGGACGCAGAAGACTTCTCCGAAGGCGCGAGGGCGTCCGAGGAGTCCCGCCGCCTCCCTAAGAAGGCCCAGTCCTCCCAGACACGCATCGTCCTGATTTTTTCAACGCGGGGCCCCTGGAAGCCCGACCCCCTCCCCGGGACCAGCTCTTCGTCCTGCACAACTGTCTGCAGCCCCGAGGCCCGGCGAGAGCCCCCCCCCCAGGCCGAACATGGCCAAAAACCTCCCGACCTGATCTTTCACGATCCCCCGGGAGGAGGGGGAGGAGGGGGGAGGAGGAAGGGGAGGAGGAGGGGAAGGAGGATGGGGAGGAGGAGAGGGAGGAGGAGGGGGAGCAGGAGGGAGAGGAGGAGGGGGAGGAGGAGGGGGAGGGGCTGCTGCCCCCCCTCCGCTCGCCGCCGCTGCGCGCCCTCCGGCCCTCGCGGCCCCGCGCCGCCCCGCGCCGCCCCGCCGGCGGAGGCCCGCGCGGAGGAGGCCGGGCGTCCTGCGGCGGCCGCGCCCCGCCGCCGGGGGGCCCCGGGTCGCCCGGGAGCAGGTGCTGCGTCCTGGCCGCCGGGGGCCCAGGGCTCCTCCTCCTCCTCCTCCTCCTCCTCCTCCTCCTCCTCCTCCTCCTCCTCCTCCGCCCGGCCTCCGCTGGCGGGGCGGCGCGGGTGCGAGGTCGGAGGGCGCGTATATCGGCGGCGAGTGAGGAGGGGAAGCGAGAGGCCCAGACATGATCGATCGTGACAAAAATCAGAACGGGAGGTGTTTGACCCCTCGCCGGGCCTCGGCACCGTCAGAAAGCGACCTGGGAGGAGAAACCGGTCCCCGGGAAAGGGTCGGGGACTTCCAGGGACCCCGTCTTGAGAAAATCAGGGCCTCGCACGCCTGGGCTTGCAAGTTCTTCACAGCGGGCTTCTTCGCCCAGCGTGGGGCCCCGCGGGGCCCTCACAGATCGAAGCTTGGGTCTAGGGCTCTGGTGGTGACTTCTCACGATGTTTCAATGTTTCCGAGCCGTCGGATCTCAGGGGGGGCAGGAGATCGGCCAGTCGAGACCCCGGCGGCCCTCCCTGTCGTTGCCCGTTCTGTCTGCCAGGGCAACTGTCCTCGCGCTGTCGTGCCGCCCAGCCCCTGGAACAGGACCAGGAGGAGGGCCTCGCACCTGGCTCTGAGATCGAGCTCCCTGGACTCTCGGCGACTGCCCCGGAGATCCGACGCCTCGAAAAAAGGGGTATACGCCCTGAAAAAGCACGCCTGGGGCCCCGGACCCCCTCCTTCTGCGCCGCTTCTCGGGGCGGCTCGGCCCGCGAGGGAGCCCCGGGGCCCGACCTGGGGGCGCAGACGCCCGGCTCGGACAAGAAGAATGGAGGCCCGCCCGGCTCTCAGGGGCCGAAGGCCTCACGGCGCACCGCGGCCCCGGGCCTCGGCACACGAGCGGCCTGCTCGAGCCTGCCGGGCACGGCAGGAGGGCAGGAGACCCAGACCCCCGACGTCATGAATGTTTCGTTACGTCGACCCCGGAAGAGTTCTCGACCCCCCTTCCCCAGGACGGGTTTTTGTCATCCTGAGTCGTTTTGTTGACGCTCCCGAGGCCTGGTGAGGGCCCCCAGAGGCCGAAAACTGCGCAAAACCTCCCGTCATTTTTTCGATTACTCGAGGGGGTCTGGGGAGGGGGGCGCCGGGCGAGCAGGCCGCGGCGGCCCTCCCCGTGCCGTGGTGTCTCTCTGGGCCTCTCACGGGGCTCCTCGCGGGGGCGCCGCGTCACCGCGCGGCGGGGCGCCCGCCTCAGAAAAAAAACGGGCCACGAGCTGGGGGTGGACCCCTCCTCCTCCTCCTCCTCCTCCTCCTCCTCCTCCTCCTCCTCCTCCTCCTCCTTCTCCTCCTCCTCCTCCTCTACAATTACACAATATGAAAATACTCTCCCACTTCCCCAGATGGCGTCCCGAAGATGGCCGACCCCCCCCCGCGTACTGTTTTTTAAACACAGGATTCCCGGGAAACGGGTTTTCGCCTGCGTTTGTTTTCAAAATGCTGCTCTCGCTGAGGCGTCGGCCTCATTTCTGCTCCCGAAGTTCCGAATCGTGCCCCCGCTGCAGCGTGGGCCTCATTTTCGGATCGGTGTTTGGCCTCCGTCGTTCAGGATGGCGTTCTCGCCCCAGCGCGGGCCTCTTTCTCGCGCGCCCATCCGCCCGCCACCACCGCGCCGCACCACAACCACCACCACCACCACCACCACCACCACCACCACCATCACAACCACCACCAGCACCAGCACCACCACCACCACCACCACAACCACGCACACACGCACGCACGCACGCACGCGCACCACCAGCCACTACGCACGCGCGCGCGGAGCCACAGGTCCGCTACGACACGCGTCCGCGGATAGAGAAAATCAGCGCCATGGTAGGGGTAGGACGTCAGATATGACGCGAGCGCACCTAGCTTGTCCTCCTCCCCCTCCTCCCTCTCCTCCTCCTCCTCCTCCTCCTCCTCCTCCTCCTCCTCCTCCTCCTCCTCCTTCCTCCTCCCTCTTCCATCTTCCCTCCTCCTCAAGAACCCCCTTCAGCAGAACGTGGGCTTGGTGAAAACGACCTCGGGCCCGAACCTGGCGGGCGCAAGCCTGGAACATGATGGCCGCGGCGCCCTCTCGAGGAGCGCACGGACAACTCACGAATCGACGTGTCAGGGTGGGGGTTCTGTTCGCCCCGGAATGCTGCCCGCCGACGAGCAGACAGATTCGATGATTTGCGGGCACGCGGGCAGGAGGCCGAAAACTACAAGAGCTGTAATTTTGATTGTTCCCTGATAGCGCTTCGCTGAAGGCTTCTGATACTGCTTTTCTAAATAAACAGAAAGGGACGAGTAGCCATTTCGCCTGAGACGTCCATACAATTGATTCAAGAATCCGTAGGAATACCCGGAATCGAAGGCAAGATCTGTCAACATCGGATCGGCAATCTAGATCGGATAGGCCTGTGCGTCGGATCGAAGGGCCAGGCACAGTGGTGGTGGGTAGGCCTTCGGCAGAAGAGCGTTGAAAGTAAGATCAGTCAGCATCGAAGCGGTAATCCGGATCGGATCGGAATGTGCGTCGGATCGCGCTGCATCGGCACGGAGTCGAAACCGAATCGGACCGGCTGCGCCAGGATATGCAGCAGCGCCATGCCAGCATCGGGAAGCGTCGGACCGTCGGAGTATCGGAGTCGGATCAGGCCAGCCGAAATCGATATCGAGCCAGATCGATCGAATGGAAATGGGCCCAGGCGTCGTGCACCCAAAAAGAGCACACCAGACCTCGACAGCAGCTGTTGGTTTCGGTCCCATGTGTCCTGTATTTCAACCTCTGGGGCACAGCGCCTTGCTTGGTCAAGTGTACGGAGTCCTAGGCGAGAGCGCGATTCCTAGGTAAATTGTGGGGAAGTTGCGAGCGAGCGAACGATTTTGAATAAACGGTGCGGAATTATCAGGCGGGAGCCGTCGCTGTGGTAGTCCTGGGGGCCACAAGCTGTTTAAATAGGAAGGCTTTCACTGATAAGAAGCCGGGTGCCAGCCCCAGTGGGGAAGCCTTCAATGTCAAACATAAGAAGCACTGGGCAGAAGGGATCAGGAATAAGTGTTCAGAAATGAAAGCAAGACAAACCTATGCGAAAAAGCATCTAGGCCGGGGGGCCAAAAATCTACTCCTCAACTCAGAGGATGCGCTCCAGCCAGAATATTGAGGCAAATCTTGCCGTAGCGGCGAGGAGCTGGAGGAAACACCCAAGAAGACACCCCGAGACCTCCATCCCCGAACCTGGATCCTCAAACCTCGGCCCTCGACGACGGCGGCGACGACCGCTCCCGAGCCCGTCCGCTCCTGCAGAGGCCTCCCAGCAGGTGGGATACGCGTCAGGGGGAGGAAGGGGGGGAAACGGGGGGAGGGCATAGCGTAACGTTATGTCGGGCCTGACCCCCTACAGGGGGATTTTCGACGAAGAATAAAAAATACACCGAAAATTACCAAACAATAATCCAAAAATAGTCGGGGACTATTTTTTGAATATGTGTTGACCATTTGGGGATATTTTTGGTGCATTTTAATTTTTCACCGAAAATCCCCCTGTAAGGGGACAGGCCCGACCTAAGCGTAACGCCCCCCCCCCGCCGCGTGGCTCACGCATCACAGACTGTGGTGCCAGACGCACCGCAGCGGTGCTGGGGACGCACTGGGGGGGAAGCCTGAACGTTTTGCGGGGGGAGGGAGGGGGAGGCATAACGCGCGTCTTCATGGCCCAGAGGGTTCAAAAACGCTCTCTCAATGGAGTCGAAGCATCGCGCCGCGTCGCCGACGCATGGCAGATGCATCGGCAGTGCATCGACGATGCATCGGCGATGCATCGGCACCGCACGCGACGCATCGGCGCTGTCGGCGCGAAGAAAACATGGCTCCACGTCGGGCCGCATCGCCGACACAAAGGCGACGCAGCGCGATCCTCCAACCCCGTCGACTCTCGAACAACAACATGGCATAAACATGACCTGTCGGTGGTCCGCGCTGATTCCCTGGAACGGCGCTGGACCCCCCTCCCTGGCGCGCAGAGAGGCGCTGCCGGGGGGGCTCCAGCGCCGACCCAAGAAGTCTTCCGAACAGTCCTAGACGGATGCCGTGCCTGGCCCCTCGATGCTCGAACCCCACTTGTGGAGGCCCCGAGGCCCGCGACGTCCGCCCCACCCAGACATCCGACGCTAGAAGCCTCCTAGATGGGGTCCGAGTAGATGGGGTCGGAGGATCTCGCCGCATCGCCGATGCATCGACGATGCATCGTCGATGCATCGGTGATGCATGGGGCCATTCACTGGCGACGTCGGCGGTACATCCGCGACGTCGGCGTGCGGAAAAATGGACCCCGCATCGAGCCGCATTGCCGATGCATCGCCGATGCATCGGCGATGCGGCGCGATCCTCCGACCCCATCTACTCCGACCCCATCTAGGAGGCCTAGAGACGCCAGGACCGGCGTTTCGACCCGGGCCGCGATGGCACGGCCCCAGAGCCCGACACCCAGGGCCCCCCCCAGCAGGCCGAGGCCGAGGAGAGGCCGACGGCTGAGCAGAGAACAGTGCCGCCAGAGGTCCGGGTCCCCGCCTCGCTCTGCCTTTTTGGCGGCGCGCACCACTCGCCATCGCTCGGAGCGTCCATTCCCCGTGCGTGCTTCGGCTTCGTGCGCTTATCTGATCACAAGATGAGCCAAGACGCTCTTCGATGCTCCTCGCCGAGGAGAGCATACACACGTCCGAGCGATACCAAGCACAAGGGGGCAGAGGGAGAGGGGAAGGCTTCTCAGGAGGAGGCTGGCTCTTCTCTTAGAAGGCGCAGGCCCTGCATCTGCACGTACACCCCGCGACTTTTCACCAGCAGGGTGCTTCTAAGAAGCCTCCCCCCCTCCCCCTACCCCCCTCTTCGCGTGGCGGGCCCTCCATCTAAACCCCTCTCCCCCCCTCCCCCCGTCCTCGGCAGTGGCGACGCGCGTTCCAAGGGTGCTCGCGAGATCCCCCGAGATCCGACGTCGCGAAAAAACTC